CCTCTGGCTTCGCCTTGTCCCTCCATCCTTTTGGCTCCGCCTGGCTCCTCCTTCCCTCCGGCTGCACCATTGTCCTCGGTCGCTCCAGCTATGCCGCGGTCTTCCAGGTCCCCGTCTCTGCCTCGCTCGCATAAGCTGTTAGCTCGACCATGGCCCTCTGGACCTCGGGTGTCACCCTAGTTCTCCGTCTGCTTGGCTCCACCTGGGTCTCCACCTCCAGCGGCTCTGTCTCCATCGCTCATCCCCAGGGTGTCGTCTGCCATGCTTCCACCATGGCTCCTCCCTCCCTCGACTCCGCCCTGGGGCCTCGTTCTGGCTTGTCTTTTGGCCAAAACTTGTCTCCTCCTGCTCCTTCCTCCATGGCTCCTCCCACCGTCAGCTCCACCCTTCTCCCATGGTTCCCTGTCCTCTGTGTCCTCCTCCAGAGCCCCCTCTCTCCCACCTCAAATGGACTCTTTGCAGTGTGAAGACACGCCTTCCGGGAGGGGGAGCTACTGTCACAGTTATGGACTTTTGGTTGCTTCTCTCTGTTCCTGTTTTCCTGGCTTGTTTATTTGCCCTAGTTTCTGTTCAGTCCTGATTTGTTTCTATGGTTACTTATGATTTGCAACTGTTACTCATTCATTAGTCTCCTTATTTATATTCCCTGTTCTGTTCAGTCGTTGCCGGTTATTTTTTCTTTACTATTATGTGTGCTACGTTTGCTCCTGCGATTCTCCTGTGTGTGTTCCTTGTGGATTAATCATTAAAAGACTATTTTTGGATTATACTCTTTCATCGTGTGCTTTAAAGGGGTCATATGATGCAATTTCAAGTTTTCCTTTCTCTTTGGAGTGTTACAAGCTGTTCATGCATAGATAAGATCCCTAAAGTTGCAAAGACTAAAGTCTCAAACCCAATCAGATATTCTTTATAAAAGTTAATACTCGTCCACGCCCTCCTAAAACGCCTCATTTAAACACGCCCCCACATGTCTACATCACTGTGTGAGAAGATTTGCATAACAACGCCCAAATGTTTACGCAAAGAAAGAAGGCGTAACTTTAATTCTAGCATTGTTGCTGCCGCCACCGCCATGTCATGGAGACACTCTGTTTCGTTGTGAAAGCGAAACTACTTTGTTTGGTCTTCCAAAAGAGGACACAACTAGAAATCAGTGGTTAAGTTGTATTTACAACACTGTTCCAGAACAGTTCAACCCAAATATTCAGATGTGTGCAGAGCATTTTACGGAGGACTGTTTCCTGAACCTGGGAGAGTAGCCTACAATGCCGGAAAGGTTGTTTCTATAAACTGGGGCAATTCCAACTTTGCAAGGACACAGCCTGTAAGTACATTTTCATATTTAAAGAATTTGCCACTGACCATTCAAACGTGAGTTTTGAGCAGTGTAGAGCTTGTTGTTTGTCGTTTCTCCGATCACAAATGCTAAAAAGACAGTATAAGTCATTATAATGACTTAATTAATAGTATATATATATATATATATATATATATAATTAATAATAGTAACCAGAGGACAATGCTACACCTGCAGCACTCTCAAATAATTTCTCTTTTTCCCACTCCCCCCGTCTGACTGGAAGAGGTGGAGGTACTGGTCTGCTTATCTCTAATGATTGGAAATTTAATCCTTTATCATTTCTGAGTATCAACAGCTCCTTTGAATCACATTCAGCCACTATTACCCACCCTCTTAAAATCCATTTTATAGTTGTTTATCGACCCCCAGGACCACTAGGTAACTTCGTGGAAGAATTAGATGTGCTGCTCTCAAACTTTCCTGAGGATGGTACTCCCCTAGTTATGCTTGGAGACTTCAACATCCACCTAGATAAACCTCAGGCTGCAGACTTCCACACTCTGCTTGCTTCTTTTGATCTCAAGCGAGTATTAACTACGGCTACTCACAAATCAGGCAACCAACTGGACCTTATTTACACACGACACTGCTCCACTGATCATGTGCTTGTTACTCCACTACACACCTCGGATCACTTCCTCTCACCCTCCCGGCTATCTGCTATGGTTTCATCTTTGCTTCCTTCTCCTGAACAGTTATCATCTCTTGATGTTAACCGTGCTACTGATACTTTCTGCTCCACTCTTACGTCTTGTTTAGACACTGTCTGCCCCTTGTCTTCCAGGCCAGCTCGTACCACCTCTTCTGCCCCTTGGCTATCTGATGTTCTCCGTGAGTATCGTTCTAAGCTCAGAGCTGCAGAAAGAGTATGGCGCAAATCACAAAATCCTACTGACCTTAATGTATATCGATCACTCCTTTCTTCATTTTCTGCTAATGTCTCCACTGCTAAAAGGAGATACTATCACAACAAAATTAACAGTTCGCCTAACTCTCGCATGCTCTTTAAAACATTTTCCTCTCTCCTTTGTCCTCCTCCTCCAGCTGACGACTTTGCCACATTCTTCATTAATAAAATTACAAACCTCAGTGCACAATTTGCCACACCACAAACTGTCAAACACATCTTACCCGCAAACATACACTCGTTTTCATCCTTCTCTCCACTCTCTGAGGCAGAAGTCTCTAAACTCATCCTTTCCAATCATCCAACTATTTGTCCGCTTGATCCTATTCCATCTCATCTCCTTCAAGCCATTTCTCCTGCCATTGTACCTGCACTCACTCACATTGTTAACACAGCCCTTCACACTGGTGTGTTTCCCTCAACATTTAAACAGGCCTGTATAACCCCACTTCTTAAGAAACCCACTCTTAACCAAACTCTTTTAGAGAACTACAGACCGGTTTCCCTTCTACCTTTCATTGCAAAAACACTTGAACGAGTTGTGTTCAACCAAGTCTCAGCCTTTCTCACACAGAACAACCTCCTGGACAGCAACCAATCTGGCTTCAGAAGTGGACATTCGACCAAGACTGCCTTGCTTTCAGTTGTTGAAGCCCTAAGACTGGCAAGAGCGGCTTCCAAATCTTCTATACTTATCTTGCTGGATCTGTCCGCTGCTTTTGACACAGTTAACCACCAGATCCTCTTGTCAACCCTATTGGGAAAGGGCATCTCAGGAACCACACTCCAGTGGTTTAAGTCTTACCTCTCAGATAGGTCCTTCAAGGAATCTTGGAGAGGTGCTATCTACTTGTTTTTCTTTGTGTGTGTGTGTATATATGTGTGTGCGTATAATATATATATATATATATATATATTTATTAGGGGTGGAATGGTTTGCGGAAAAATATCGATCCGTACGGTTCTCCACACGGTTCGGCACGCGCTAGGACCGCGGTTCAACTTAAATCTGACAACGCATCTGTAATATGGTTTGCTATAAATAACACGTAAAACAAACAGGGTTCGGCTAATGTATGTTTCTATTGATGGATGTGCATTCTGGCTTCCCAGTACATTACAACAACAGCGATGAAAAAAAATGTGGACAAACCATTCACTCTTATTCAATGCGAATGCCGTATGATGGAATATGAGCAGTCATTTATTCCGTCATCACCCGGGTGCTGATAGCGCGCGCCCACAGGTGAGACCTGAACAGCAAACGTTGATATCTGTGTTTAAGCTAAACTCATTTAAGCTTTGCCAGTTTAAACATTTTACTCCAGCGGACGCGAGCACAGTGAGAAGATTTGTGCGTGCGCTCATCCGAAACGCGCAAACCCGGGCCTCAGAACACGCGCAAATATTAAACTCTCTGAAGTGTTGTGTTTAAATGGACAAATTCACACAAAAATTGTCAAAATGCCCGTCTTTGTAAGTATCCTATAGCAGACATAGCCGGCTGAATGTACTGGATCAGTGCACTGGATCAGTGCATTCTCTTAAAGTGACAACACTATTAATCTAACAGCAACAACAAATAATTCACTCATACAGTGGAATATGCAATGCTGTTTTACATTTCATTACTTTATTCAATTTCTGTACCTAAAAACTAATGTTAGACCTACCTAAAAAAAAAAACTGAAAATCACTGTTTATTTTATTTGTATCTTTACTCTATTGTATTTATTTGTGCTGTTGCGTGTAGTTCGATAGATTATATTTATTTTCTTTATTTTTATTTGACAGTATAGTTTTTGCCTAAACATAGCACATACCGAACCGTACCGAAACTGTGACTCTAAAACCATGATACAAACCTAACTGTAAGTTGAACCGTTCCACCCCTAATATAAATATATATACACACACACACACACACACCTGTTTTCAGTTAAAAATAATAAAATAATAAAGTCTTTATAGTACCAAACTTATTATGATTAGTGTAATGATATAAAGAAAAAGACCAGAGAAGTCTAAGGGGTCTCCTACTGTCTACCTTCATACGTTGTGCTGCAATGTTAGCATTGCATTGAACTCAGTCAGCAGGGAGCTAAACAGACAGCAGTGAATTTACCAGGATTATAACTGGAAACTCTTTGATATGATGAGCTACTTCATAGCAACGTCATATGACCCCTTTAATTAGCAAAACACATGACAGTGGTGTTTTGCATTTTTCCAGTCCAAATTTCTGATTATTTAAAACTGATTCTGAAGCGCAGATTTCAGTGTGATCTCAGACATTTGGACCCTACTGTATACATATTGTTCACTGAGCAATATCTGCTCTTTGGAAAAGCTGCCATGCCAGTGTTTTACAGATTAAAAGCTGATTTCATAGCCGATTCTCTCTGAGCACCAAAGGCTAGTTCTCGGTTTCATCTCAATGAATTCAAGCAGTGACTGAAGGTCTTGTGACAGACTTGCATCATTAGGCTTGAACCTCAGACCTACAAACTGCTCGACCATATCTGTGCCCACAGATGATGAAATTAATGACTCCAGCACTCTGCCTGAAAGGCAAGAAAAATGTCAGATCATAGCAATGCTTTCTGGCATATTTCTTTTTTCCAGATCTATGTACGATAAGCTCATTATGAGATTATGTGTAATTACAATAAGATGTATGTTTGAAAATTCAAATGAGATATTTCTGTTTCATTCCCCATACAGGTGATTAAAATACATTTATTTAGGTTGTTAACACATCCTGTTCCATCAGTTTCTTCAGACCTGCAATCATCAAACCTCAGAGAATAATTGTCTACATAGTGAGAAAAGGCTTTCAACAGCATTCAGCACTGGGGATGGGAAAAGAGAGCAGAAATCAATTAGATGTTACTCTTGCAATGCATAACTTAAAGAATGGCTTCATATTCCTCTCAATCTGTAGAGCTAAAGGAATAATTATGCATTAATCATACACATAAATATGGCAGACTGAAATGTGTTTCATTACAAACCGGTATTCAATATGTGGAGTGGATGCTGTGCCCTCTTAATTATTTCGTGGCATTCTGTTTAATGTTAAATTTTCCCTTCAAGTCGACTCTCTGCCTTATCAGTCTTTTATATTCTCAGCCTCCTCATAGCAACTGATTTCTTTGGGCTGAAATTAATTAGCTTTTAATGATGAGTTAATTTATTGCTGTTGGAGACGTATACTCACAATTTCATGTTTAACTTTGAGCAACTAATTCCTGCATTCTTTCTCGTGGCCTCTGAATTTCATTGATTCAGACATCTTGATTATCTAGTGATTAGAATGTTTTAAGAACAAGTTTTGGATGTCCATCTAACACGTGCCTGAATTCATTTCCAAGAACAAGCTATTTTTGTGGCCTCACTAACACTACTGAGCAACAAAGTGAGCCGCCTTAGAAAAGCGGTCAATGACCGTCAGGATAACGGTGTTCCCTGCGGATGGGGAAAGTCCTGTGACAAAATATAAGGCAATATGGGACCACGGACAAGAAGAAATAGGAAGGGGCCTGAGCAGACCAGAGGGCAGATAATCACTAGATTTGGCTTTGGTGCAAACAGGGGAAGATGTAACGAAATGACGGACATCAAGTGCCCTCATGGGCCACCAAAATCTCTGACTAATCGTTTCGAGAGTACCCCTCACCCCAGGATGAGCAGTCAGCCTTGAGGAGTGGCCCAAAGGACGATGGCTGGATGAACAGACTCAGGAACATACAATTCCTCCTTTCGACAGCGCCGAAGTATAGGGACATTGTTAAGCACTCTTTTTACCAGCCGCACGATTCCTCAGACAAGGGTCCCAGCCACGCGGTCTCAAAGCCGAACTAGCGAGAGAGGGCATGCGGTTTCACATTCTTAGACCCGGATCTGTAGTGAAATTAAAAGTTAAAAAAAAAAAAAAGCGACCAACGAGCCTGCCAGGCATTTAATCTCTTAGCTGAACGAATGTAATCGAGTTTTCGGTGATCGATCCAAACTATGAACGGAATGGTAGCCCTCTCTAACCACTGCCGCCACTCTCCCAGAGCCAGTCAGATGGCCAAAAGCTCCCGGTTTCCTAGACTATAATTACGCTCAGATGGCGTGAGCCGGTGAGAAAAGAACGTGCATGGGTGAATCTTCTTGTAGAGAAAAAATGCTACGAAAGCACCTCCCCCACACCCATGTCGGACACATCCACCTCCACAATGAATTGCTCCTTGGGGTTGGGAGTGATTAGAATAGGCGCAGTGGTGAAAAACCTCTTAAGGCAATCATACGCGAGCTGGGCCGCCTCCAACCAGACGAAGCGAGATTTGGTCGAGGTGAGAGCGGTTAAAGGGGTGGCTACTTGACTGACATTTCAGATGAAACTTCGGTAAAAATGTGCAAACCCCAGAAATCGTTGGAGCGCATTGCGAGACTCAGGAATGGGCCGATCAATAATGGCTTGAATCTTGGCAGGATCCATACTGATCCCATCCACCGGCTGACCCCCATGGCATGAAATGTGCATTTCTCAGCCTTCACAAAAAGGTGGTTCTCCAAAAGACACTGCAACACATGGCGAACATGTACCTGGAGAGATGGAGAGAAAAAAAAAATTAAAATTAAAAAAAAAAACACAACAACAACAACAACAACAACAGCAACAACAATATCATCCAGGTACACGAAAATGAAAATATTGAGCATGTCTCTCAAGACGTCATTAATTAGAGCCTGGAAAACCACTGGAGCTTTGAAAAGCCCAAATGGAAGAACCTGATATTCAATGAGCCCAAAGGGTGTATCAAACGCAGTCTTCCAATAGTCTTCCTCTTATGCATACTAAATGAGACACATTGCGGAGATCTAACTTCGTGAAAATCTTTGCCCCCTGCAAGATCCCGAAAGCTGACGACATAAGCAGTAATGGGTACCAGTTCTTTATAGTGATCTCATCTCGGCAGGAGAGGAGGACGGGACAATGGTACCAGCGGCAAGTGAGTCCCGGACGGCAGAGTTGCGCCAGGGAATAGATCAATACTGCAGTCATAAGGTCGATGAGGAGGGAGAGAAGCAGCCCGGGAACGACTAAACACCGCCCGCAGATCGTGGTACTCCTCCGGCACTCCAGACAAATCACCGGGCTCCTCCTGAAACACAGAAACAGAAACAGCAGGAAGGGCAGATACTTAACATGACATGACAGATTCCATGACATAATATTACCTTCTGCCCAGTTGATCTGAGGATTATGCTGCACTACCCAAAACTGCTAGTGTAAAAGACAGAAAAATAAAAAAGGTGATAGTGTCTTTATGATTGCCCGTGGTGGATGAGAGTCGATGAGAGCAGTACAGGAGAAGGAGGAGCTTCCCAAGAGCAGAAGAGCGGCAAGCGACGTGCGAGTCTTTGAGGCAGGGGAAAGTGTTGTAACGCTCACCAGTACTCCCCTGTCTACTGACGAGCCCTTGCTTCCACTAGGCAGGCAGGAGCAAAGTGACCAGCGGCACCGCAGTACAAACAAAGTCCATTTTGGATACGGCATTGGCGTTCTGCAGAAGAAATGCGGAGACTTCCCAGTTGCATTGGCTCAGTCCCCAAGAATGATTCGGAGGAGGTGACAGCAGCGGGGAAAATGTCTCTTTGATCATCACTATAACCCAGAGCATGGCAACGAAGTTCAAACCACTTGTCAAGGCAGTTTACCAGCTCCACCAGCTGATCCAGATGGGCAGGAATTTCAAGGGAGTAAATCTCGCACTGAGCCCCTCTAAAAAGTGCGCAACCAGAGCCGGTTTATTCAAATCGCATGTAGCAGCTAGCGAATAAAACTCAATGGCGTAGTGAGATACAGATCACCTCCCCTGTCACAGCATGGCGAGCAAATGAGTGGCCTCATACCCGTGGACAGAGCGGTCGAACACCTTAATCGTCACCTTAAACAGAGCAAACTGCTCGCAACACTCAGCCTCTCAGATGGCTGTTCCCCAGCCGCGTGCTCGTCCACTGAGGAGAGAAACCACATAGGCAATCTTAGAGCGGTCCTCCACAGAGGTGGAAGGCTGCAGAGAGAACAAAACTTTCTCACTGGGTTAAAAAGGCTCGGCATTCAGTAGGCTCATCCGAGTAGCAAGGGGGATCGTTGATTCTGGGCTCAGGAGAAGATGGTTGGCTCTGCAAGAGGTGTAACCGGTTGGTCAGATCAGTGACCTGAGCTGCCAGGCTTTCCACAGCATGTCAGGCAGCAGATAATTCCTCTTCATGTCTGCCCAGCATAGCTCTCTAGAGTTCGACTGTTGAGCGAATTGGCGATTCCTTCACAGGGTACATATTTGGACGGGATTAAAGGAGGACCCAGGAGCGAAGGCAGGTAAATGCAAACCGTATGGAAAAAAAGGGAAACTTAAGCAGTCTGCCTTTCCGGCCGAATCTGGCGGGTGCAGAGATGGATAGTAACTCAAGATAAGTTTGTCTACATATCTCTTGTGTGCAGCAAACAGCAGTTCAGGCAGCGGACAGGTGGAGAGAGACAAGAGCTGTCCCCAGCCAGCAGGCTCTTTCCCGTTCTCAGCGACAGGATCGACTCGCACGGGCAGCAGGATGACTAGGCAGAGAACAGGTATGAAGCACCAGACACGACTTGACTAGATAGGTCAGGACTGAAGGCAACTGAGAAAAAAACATATATGCCTGGGGAGTAATACAGCAAGTAGTAACCAACAATAATCTGACAAAGAAGCTGAGAGAACAGCAAAGTAAAGTAGCAGAGAGAATCAAGGTAAAGAGAGAACAGGTGCGGGGTCAATCAGCATGAGTGCCGATCGCGATAGCGAACAGCTGTGTCCAAGTAGCAATAATGAGGGGAGAAAGAGAAACAAGGGGAAGATTTTTTTAGTCGTGTACTTCTGCAGTTATAGAGAGATTTTTTCCTGTGAAGCCGAATGCTTTTTTCCAGCAGAGATGTTCAGTCAGTGGAAATAATGTAGCCTTTCATAATACTTCACATGAAAACACATAAGAGGCTATGTTCATATTCTTAATGATTACTCATTCTAATGGAGTGAAATTCAAACAGCACATGCAGATAACAACACAAAGAATCACATTTGGAGAACAACATTCTCACAAATAAACACTTTATTGCTACCCCTCATGAGTTCACATCTTATTTCTTGCTCAGAGTAAAGCCTCTCTCTTTCTTTAAGAATGTCAGCATGCAAAAATCGATTAGGATCAGTGATCTTTAGCAGCCGAGAGTTGTCTCTCGCAGTTAAAAGGACAGTTCAGTTGAAAATCATCATTCTTCATTTTACTCCCCCCTTATGTCATTCTAAACATACATGACTTTTACTTTTTCCATTATTCCAACACATAAGGAGCTGACTAGCACAGTGTCTAAACTACCTTTGTGTTAGTTTTGTACATGTTTGGGTGAACTATCCCTTTAAGTGCATAATCTCTGTAGATTCTGTAAGAAGGCTTTCTGTTTTCAGGGTGGCTGATGGCTGTGATGAGCACAGGTGCCATCTTCTCTCATGTGATGTGAAATATTTATCACCAGGTTATGTCAACCAATTATAATGTGCCATGTGCAAACAGTGAATTATTAACAAGTGGCTTATATGTGGTACCTATTTTTTTTGTCGCTATGTCTAGAAGGATAGGATTTCTGTTCTTCTTGCAGGTGTTTTTTTTCTGGAAGTACAGATCTCAAAAGTCAAACTGCATCCCAAAGAAGAGGAAGTTGAGGTTATATGCTGTGTGTATACTTTAGACATTAAGTTATTTGTGTTGTTGTTGTTAAATAAATAAAATAATGTTAGTTTTTCTCTGGTATTAAAAAATGTAACTTTGGCTATTTTATTTTCCAGCAATCCTTAACAAAAATGTGGAGGCGCACACCAAGAAAAATACATTCTGACTTCAAGCTCTCTTAATAAAGAAAAGACAAAGCCTATACTCATCAAAATGTCCATGTGAAGATGCATAGGGAAGAGCGGGGCACAACCTAACACTTTTTGACTTTTTCAGTTTGTGTAAATCCACATGGGGTTCAGGGTATATGTTTTTCCACATTAATTTCACACTTGTCTAGTACAAATATGTGGTTTTGTTTCATGTATACTTTTTTTTTAATTACTCCAAAAGAATGGAAGTGAAATATGACAACATGCACCATAGATGGGGCACATTGTAACATGACCATATGACAGCTTAAAATATTATCTGATCTAATATATATATATACAAGACAAACTAAAATATTTTTTCAATAAAATAAAATAATTAAATTTTTCAAATAAAATAATGGTGTTTTCTAAAAATTACAAATAATGTAATTTTGGAGTATGAATGCATTGCAACCAGAGCCCCATGCTTGGGATGGCCCTGATCGCAACACAGCTATGAATCATAGTTCAAAACAATGTGGGCAAATAGATGAAGAAACACATTCAGACTTTCAGAAAATCACAATCGCAGTATTACAACGTTTCCCATCTGCGCAACTGGAAATTAAAACTGGTTAGTGTTTTCTGCTAGTTATAGAAGCATAAAAAAAAAACTCTAAACTGCTAAATAACAGATTGGAGATTCAAATAATAGCATATTTGTCTAATTTTAAATTAACACTAAAAACTGAGATGAAAAATTTACTAAAACTAGGCATTTACTTTTGCTATGGTAAAAAAAATATTCAGCGATATCGTCTCAGGTTACGTATGTAACCATGGTTCCTCGAGGGAACGAGACGCTGCGTCGGAGGACGCTTCGGCAACGCCCTTCAGCGTGACCGGCTCTGAACCTCGTGTGTAATCAGAGAGGACTCATAGGCAATAGAAATGGCATCTACTATCCACCGCAGCTCTGTGGACGTATGCGTCCAGTGCTCGCACTGGACACATACAGTTAAGCTTCTGCTGGTCTGGATCCCCTAAGGGACGAGGACTGAGGGCCTGGAGCACGGCAGGCCGTGGTGTAGAGGAGGGGACCTTAGGAACATTAGGAACATACCCCGCTCGAGGGTACAGAAACGCTTTGGCCAGACCGGGCGCAAAGTCGAGATAAGAAGGGCCACTGAAAGGGCCTGCAGATCCCCAACTCTCTTGAGAGAAGATATCGTCTTGATAGTAAGGTGGCGATCAGAGATCTCCTCGATAGGCTCGAAGGGAGGCCTACAGAGAGCTTCTAGCACCACAGCCAGGTCCCACGTGGGGACACGAGATCGTACCGGAGGCCTCAGCCTCAGCGCACCGCGGAGGAAACGTGTAACTAGGGGGTGTCTGCCCACTGACTGGCCACCAAAAGGGTGAAAGTGTGGGGTGAGAGTGGAAGGCCAAAGGAAGAACCGGTGTTGGTAGGCTTTTGCCCCCAAAAGCAAACCTCAGGAACTTCCTATGATGAGGAAGGATGCCCTCATCCTTCCTCGGAATGGTGAAGTACCGGCTGAAGGGCCCGGACTTTGCTGCGCGAGGAGGGACAACCTCGATGGCCTCCATCCTCAAAGAGTGTCTACTTCTGTTCCATTACCAGAGCCTGCTCGGGGCACCGAATGACGTAATATAAGCATGCCTCGGCAGCGCGCGAGCCACTCAGTCACACCAACAGCATCAATCTCTCTCAGAGGGGGAAGAACCGCAGCGCGGGCTTCCGAGCCTCGAGAACGAGCTCTAGATCTCCATTGATGCTGCTCATTATAATATCAGGCATAATATGCTTGTGTAACTGATGTTTGCACAACTGGCGAGCTCTTCGACGCTCTCCGTATCAATCTCCTCGGAGAAAGACAGGCGGAGCGTCGCGGCCTCTCCCCGGGGAGGAAGTACCGCAGCGCGGGCTTCCGAACCCCGAGAGCGGGCGCTGGATCTGGTGGTTGCAGGGAGGAACACACAGCCTAAACGCTGCCTGCCCTCGCCTTAGGTTTCTGGTTTTGTCTTGTTTTTAGATTCGCTTGACAGACAACACTAAATAAGACTCACAAACAGATATCAGACTGACACACACACAGAGAGCGCTTGCTGAATGACAAAAAGCTGACGCTGGTCTCACCGCACGTGCTTTATAGCTGCCTGGTCATTACGTCACCCGCCCGTGACGTCTCGCCCATCTATTGGTCTGATTACACACGAGGTTCAGAGCCGGTCACGCATACTCCTCCGACGCAGCTCGAGTTCCTGAAGAGGAACTTCAAAATATTTTTTTCTCTATTTAGTGTTGATATGGCAACTAGTAAATACCAATTTTGTTGTGCTAGCATGTGTGGAAATATTTAAGGTGCTTTCACACCTGTAGATCGATTGCTTTGTTCCGAAACAGGGATTAAAATTATTACAATGTTGCTTTTTATTCTTGGTGCGGTTCGCTTTCACACGGCAAAGTTTCTAAACGGACCAAATTTGTTAATACAAGTCAAGCGCGAGTAAACTGTTCTCTCATTGGTCAAAGTTCCACGGTTTATTTTCCGGGATTCCACTTAGCTGTCACGGCTGTCATCCGTCAGGATGAAACGACAACAGCTTTTTTTTTTTGTAGCTGTCCTTATATTAATTTATCATTTTGAGCAGGAGTCCAGGATTCATCGGGAAAACATTTTTAAAATGCACCTACTAGGAAGAAGAGCAATAAGACGGCATTATAAATTGAAAAAGTGCGCTTTTTTATTTTGAATGGCGAAGACGTTCTCACCCACAGACATTCACAGGTTATTTTGAAGTATTAGCAAAACGTGGATCCGGGTGCGATTGCTGTGTTCACATTTGCCCAAACGAACCGAGCTAAGGGGGGAAACGCGCCAGGTTCCAAAACAACGAGCCAGGTGTGAAAGCACCCTTAAACTATGTGTGTTACAACTAACCCTGCGTTAGTCTGTGCCCCGCGCACCCCTAAATGTTTAGCATGTCTCTAGCATGCTTTCACACATTTGTAGCATGTTTAGCACATCCTTAGCCTGTTTTAAGATGCTGCTAGCATATCACCATTTTCCTAACATTTTTCTAGCATGTTTTAGTTGTGAGCTGTTAAGCATAGTTGTTCTGGTGATTGATAGATACTGTAGATATGCAGAGAGACAGATGCATAGATGAATGGATGGATGGAAGTGTTTAGCGTGTTAGCATTTTTAGCATTTTGGTAGCATGTTTAAACATGTTGCTAGCATATATCACTATGGTGTTAATGGTTCCCTTTCATGGGAACTTCGAACTGCGTCCTCTAGGGGTCGCTATGGGGAACGCCTCGTCGTGAACCGTGTCTGAAGCATACATTGAAAAAACACCAACAGCACGTTGGCCTGCGACAGCCATGACGTCACTACCGGTGCGACTATAGTATAGGAACTTCCTGCATAACAGTCTGCTACTGGATCTATGATGTTTTGGTTGGTTCTATGGCTTCATAGTGACCACCTTACTGATGGTCCGGTCTAGAGGCTTCTCCGGACAGGGC